GGAATAACCACCGCAACATGTGAAGCTCTTGGTTAACTACCTGACTGATGAAAGCCACTGTTGATCCAAAGGCTCTAAATCACTTATCTATTTGGGTGACTTTTTAGATACAAAAGCATTTAAACAACAGAACATTCATAGATACAGTAAATATGACAAGACGTGAGATGAAGAAAGAACTTAGAGAATAACCTTAACAATACCATCAAATGTTATCAACATATATATTCAATGATATTACTTAAAACACTTGCAGCACGAAGGCAAGCCATACCTTTATCCATGATTATAGTGAACACTGTACCACTAGAAGTGAGATGAAGAAAGAATTTATGATAAAAATAATGATAATAATAATGATAATGTTGGTGGATGATAGGCCTGGTTGTTTGTATCTTTTGTGTATTGCTTTTGGATGCTGCTTTTGTTTTCTTGTACTGTTTTTGTGTATCTTGCCTTTTTACTGTTTTCTTAATTGTTCACAGAGATTTCAGCTTATGCTGCCCTCTGTTTTTAATGTATTTTATTGGTGAATAATAAATAAACCTGAATATAAAAAAATTGAGAGATGTACTTGAACGATATCATGTGCCACACTCACTGAATGCTTTGAATAACCACAAGTGTTAATCAAACACACATCCACATAGTGAATACCACGAAATGCAAGAAAAAAAAGGAATTGAGATAATTACTTGAAGGATACCATCGTGTACCTCTGTCACTGGATGATGCTTGGAATAACCACCCCAACATGTGAAGCTCTCGGTTATCTACCTGACCGATGAAAGCCACTGTTGATCCAAAGGCTCTAAATCACTTATCTATTTGGGGACTTTTTAGATACAAAAGCATTTAAACAACAGAACATTCATAGATACAGTAAATATGACAAGACGTGAGATGAAGAAAGAACTTAGAGAATAACCTTAACAATACCATCAAATGTTATCAACATATATATTCAATGATATTACTTAAAACTCTTGCAGCATGAAGGCGAGCCATACCTTCATCCGTGATTATAGTGAACACTGTACCACTATAAGTGAGATGAAGAAAGAATTGAGAGAAGTACTTGAACGATATCATGCGCCTCCACTCACTGAATGCTTGGAATAACCGCAAGTGTTAATTAAACACACATCCATATAGTGAATACCACGAAATGCAAGAAAAAAAAAGAATTGAGATAATTACTTGAAGGATACCATCGTGTACCTCAGTCACTGGATGATGCTTGGAATAACCACCCCAACATGTGAAGCTCTCGGTTAACTACCTGACTGATGAAAGCCACTGTTGATCCAAAGGCTCCAAATCACTTTAATTATCTATTTGGGTGACTTTTTAGATACACAAGCATTTAAACAACAGAACATTCATAGATATAGTAAATATGACAAGACGTGAGATGAAGAGATGTTAGAGAATTTCCTTAATAGTACCATCAAGTGATAATACATAATACATGTATTACTGTAACTCACTTGTAGCACAAAGGCAAGCCATAACTTCATCCATGATTCTAGTGAATACCACTAGAAATGAGATGAAAAAATTACTTGAACAATATCATCATGAACATCACTCACCGGATGCTTGGAATTACGACAAGTGTTAATCAAACATGTATACTGTATATGCATGTTGATGCACGAAGACGGTCCGCGAATAAATCCACAGCCAAACTCACTGGCATCATGATGGCGTGCCCCACCTTCATCTGACGACAGCCATGGATATAGTGAATACCACGAAAAGCAAGATGAAAGAAGAATTGAAAGAATTACTTGAACAATATCATCATGCACATCACTCACCAGATGCTTGGAATAAATAATGACAAGTGTAAATCAAACATATATTGTAGATGCATATTGATGCACAAAGACCGTCCACAAAACAACCCACAGCCAAACTCACTGGCATCATAATGGCGTGCTGCATCTTCATCTGACAACAGCCATGGATATAGTGAATACCACGAAAAGTAAGATGAAGGAAGAATTGAAAGAATTACTTGAACGATATCATGCACCTCATTCACTGAATGCTTCAAATAACCACAAGTGTTCAATCCACAGATAAACTCACTGAAAATATGATGACATGCCACACTTTCATCTGACCACATCCATGGATATAGTATTACCACAAAAATCAAGAAAAAGAAAGAATTACTGTAAAGATAATTACTTAAAGGACACCATCATGTACCTTAGTCAGTTGATGGAGGGGCGAATCCAGAAATGTCCAAAAGGGGTGCCAAAAATGGAGCTGATTGAGATTACACACCCTGGGGGGTGACAAGACGTGAGATGAAGAAAGAACTTAGAGATATACCTTAACGATACGATCCAGTGTTAATCAACGTATACATTAGATGATATTACTATATATTGGTGCACATACAAAGACCATCCACAAAAATCATTCCAACGAGAGACTAACTGGCAGCACGATGACATGCAGCACATTCATCTGACAACGCAATTCACCAAAGCAGATATGAAGCGATTACAAGGCCATTTTGGGGGAGCCATTAGAAACAACTGCCCTGATGTGAATGCCATGCACAAAGCAGTGTGGGTAACATGGACGCACCGAAGAAGGGACCACACAGATTGTGGTGACTGGTACAGAGCAAAGCGAGTGGAGAGTGAACCACAAAACCATTTTGAGGATTACGATGCCATCATACTTATATATGAGGGAACTAAGTTCAAAATTATTGTTAGAGGCCTGCAAGCACATGCACTGACTTTTTTAAAGATGTAATTCTCTGCCAGCAAATATACAATGGATGTTTTAGTAAAATTAACAATACTAAAATCCATTATGCAGAACAAGGCTTATCTGTCAAGGCAAAACAAGCCAGAAGCGAAGGTTAACAAGGAAATAATGTTGGGAGGATGAAGAAGCAGATGGGGGAACCAGAACATTAAGATGGCTGATATTTGTACTGTACAGTATATGCTATAACAATGAACTTTTAAAGTACAGTACTGTATTTGATTCTTGAAATGATAAAAATTTACCATTATTTAATTCATTTTTTTATTACATACGATGATGCCAATGTAAAACTTCTTTTCGAAAAAATGGTCATGTTATGTTAAATTGTATATTTTTATCAAAATTTACTTGTATATTACTGTAATGTACAGAATATATCACTTAACAACTAAAAATATCATAACCAATCTGTTTAAACAGTTTAACCATTGACAAATTTTTAAACACAAATATCTCAAAAGGAAATTTGATCTGATTCAGCATTGATTTCAGAACCTGAATAAAACAAAATTTAATTCACATCCACAGCTATATGAAAGCTTCCCATGCAATAACATTAACACGGTTAATGCCTGTAATTTTCTATGTAAGCAACTGTTCAAACACAACAAATTAATTTGTTTTATCAAGGAATTACTGATAATAATGTCACTTTAAAAGGGTACACATCTTAGAAATATGTTTGTGGTGTCATTTTACACTTTTTGTGAATTTTTTTAAATTTAAAATTTATAAAATAAATAAATAATAAATAAATATTGAGTGGCGAAAACATTGTTTAAATATTCAAAGCAGGTGAAAATACTGTCTGTATCCCTCAATTTGTTTTTTATAACCAACATTTTTTCATTTCTTGAAAGATTGCTACTAATGCACTGCCATATATGTGAAGAGATAGAGAGATGGTCTGTTGAAACATTGCAGATCTCAGTTTCTAATAACATTCTTCTGTTCTTTATGCAGTTTTAGCAAGCTTGATTTCTTATCAATTTGATCAAAGATTGGTCCAAGGAATCACATCCCTAAGTTTGCACTCTGCTACCATTAATTATAATGCATCCCTCAGTGTGGCCATAGGTTGATAAAGTACTCTGCACACAGTTTCCTTGGCTCCAGTACCTTCTACCACAAATGTATGGTTAAGTCTGGGCTCTGTTACAATGTAATACTTCCCTCGGCGTGGCCATGTATTACTGATACAGTACTCTGCACACAGTTTCCTTGGCTCCAGTATCTTCTACCACAATGTATGGTTAAGTCTGGGCTCTGTTACCATTTAATACTTCCCTCGGTGTGGCCATGTATTACTGATACAGTACAGTACTCTTCACATAACAGTTTTCTTCTGTCAAGCAGCTTTTACCACAATGTACAATATGTTAAGTTTGTGCTCCAAAACCATGTAATGCCTCCATCAATGTGGCCACGTATTACTGATACAGTACAGCAATCTGAACTTGACAGTTTCCTTGCATCCAGTAATTTCCAGTCTGCTACTATGTAATGGCAATATAAGATAGTATGTTGAAAGATTAATTCATTGCACTATTGTAGGTAGAATAATGCATGTAATACTGACTTTCTATGCTTGCACATCACACAGGCAAAGATCCATATCTTTTAAATCACAGACTTTGAAAATGTCTACTGTAACGTTCCCATAGGAACATACACATCTGTATCTTGAATATTTTCAAACACACATGGAGACATAATTTTACTTATGATGACGATATCAATGAAACTCGTTCAGTAAATCCAGTAATGCTATTATTAGTATAATCAATGTTTCTCGTTTTTTCATATTTGATTTCTTATTTATTACTTTAGTTAAATTCTGCTGCATCATTACAAATACTAAACACAAAGTTGTCGCAAGCTCACTTTAACTACAATATCATCTCTTTCATGTATAGCAATTTTGAATAAGGTTCACCATTTATGTTTAAAAAAAAATCAAATCAGTTTAACAAATTGAGGAATACAGACAAAATACTTGGATCCCAAATAATAAAAAACACCACACCATAGTGCATATTTCAATATTTCATAGTGGTTTATAAAAAATTTCATTATGAGTATTAGTTATGTAACCTGAACATCCCACCTACTGCATTCTCCCACTCCCTAAAACAGACTTGTTTGTGATTAAATTTTCTTTAAGGTACTTCATCAATGCAAAATGTGTTGTTAATTCCTAATAATGGTGGCATATTACGAGTATTTCATAATTATAATCTAGTAATTGAGAGATGAAGTTGTGGTTTTACTTTGTTTATTTGTTAATTTGATGGAATTCATCTCTTTGTTGCTAGATCAAATGTTTAAATAAGTTGTAATTGAGCTACAGAATGTAATACCCTCATAGCGTAATTCTCCGATAATTGGTAAGCAATCATACAAAATACTATCTCAGCTCCTTGTAGGAGACGAGGAGGCCTTGCTCAATAAATGAGTATGTCTAAAAGAAAAATTAAATGACTATACAGACAAGGATTTAAAAAGGAAATAAAGACATTGTGATGTTTAAGATGTCGGCCTTCTCTGGCACACCATGAGGAATCAACAAAATGCTTCAAGACATCATGCAAAAAAACAAGAACCAGAGAAGTAAACAGCCTCTAATAAGCAGCGGCTATATAGTATCTGTTGGTGCCATACAGCAGATTATTAACCAATTGAGATGTCACAGACAATCAGCAGTTTACACATTCATCAACATTTGGGAAAGAAAGTGTGGCGAGTCATTCCATTGTGTGTTGTTAGTGCAATCTGGAATGAGTACCCAGAAGAAGATGGAAACTACACTGGTTTTAGAAACACACCAGAACATTAAAGTGCCCTTTGAGATGTACAGTAGTTATTCATGCTATACTACTCTGTACTTGTAATGATCAATTTCATTCATTTTGACTTGGTTACGACAAGGTCTATGGCAAGTTTTTATTACCTCAACATTATGTACTGCAACTGCATCTTCAATGTTTGGGAAGTCAAGTGGAACTACTGGTGTAGTCACTCATGCATTTCAAAACTCTCGAGTTGGTAGCTATGCGTAAGTAACATGGGCATTCTCTAGATCTCTTATTTATGGGGTCCAAGAGTATATGCATCATATTGTATGGTATCTGTGTGAATAAACTTTACAATTATTCATAAAAAATTTTAATAATGCAATTTAATGATTTTATTCCGAAAGAAATATTGACAATTCAAACATGAAAATCTTAGTATGATGTTAAAATGTTAATTACTGTATCATGTTAATAATTAAATTTCTTTCTACTACATACTTTTTCTTATTTTCATCATTAAAATTAAAATAAAATGTGTGCATAAAAACATAGCTACCAAGCATTAAAGTTCAAGAAGGTTTACAACTTGTGCCTCTCAAGATGGTGTCTGTCATTCTTGGCCAACTTGGAAAGTGATGAGCATTGTGGCAGCCAATTTTTTAGTGGCTAAACTCTCGACAACTGTCAGCATACATCAGATCATGGATTCTATAAGAAAACAGCAATACAATTTGCACAATGTTTATTATGATAGAATTTGGATTCATCAATTGTCAATTAAAAAGTTAACCTTCTGTGAAAGCAATACAGGTAGTTGGTTCATTGTTCCCTAATACTGTAGATAGCAGCTGTAGCCATAATTGCTATGGGGAGGGGGATGTGAAAATGGACCAACAGGGGTATGGCACTCGCCATGGTGAATTAATCACATCAATCACTAGCCATATTGCATTGAAAATTGATTGAAAACAGATCAACTTGGCACATTAAATTACAATCTTCTGTATTTGTCCAAAATCATTGAACGTTAAATCTTTCAACTCATGAAATTATTCCTCCGATTCCCACTAAAATGTGCGCAAAAACAGAGCAATACTGGTTCTATTTGAAGTCATGAATAAAATAAATTTGCCTAAGAAATAAACACAAAACTGCTATTTTCAGTTTGCAGTACCTATATTTTAAATTTTTGTTTTTTTAAACAGTACAGTACCTGTACATCATAAATTTCTGCTACTTGCGTCCAGAAGTGGAAGAATGTATTGTCCTGAAAACGTTGATACCACATGAACTCTGATAGGTAATCAGTTAAGTGCTCTTTGCGTGTTGGGCCTACCATTGGTCTCAACATCGACTTTACTCTCTTCCACATAGCTTTAACGTTGCTGATGCCACTTTCTGGATTGACAAACTTAATTAAATTGTTCTCAATACCATCTGCAGAATCCTGTTGTTTCGCTACTTGTCGCTGGAGTTGATTGTACGTCTTCCACTTATTAGCCCATACTACAGAACCAGGTGCAACCCATTTAGTAATGAAGGGCAAAAGCGTTGCTGAATTGCGTTTTGGAACTTCGACCAGGAAACCAAGTTTTGATTCTCGTTCGTACCCCCCGAGGATCCATTTTTGTGGGATGATCCGTCCAACATTGTTTTTCCGTTTTGGAATTTGAATTTTGTCGATTTCTACCACTATTCCAGGTCCGCCAATTTGCTGTGGATGACACACAAAATAATCAACAGTTACATCTCTACAAAACTGGTGCCAATCAACGACAGTATGGCACGAGCCTATCCGCAGCTCAGTCATTAGTCTATCATTTGATAAGCCATGGCCTTTTCTGGAGTCAGCACACCACCAATATACCAAGGCAATTATCTGAAAAAGTGATAGATGCGATTTCTCAAAAAAACTTCCCTTTCGGATGTTAAAAATCTTTCTGCACTTGGTGTTTGAACACCGCCAGCGTACACCATCACGACATGAAATTCCAATTTGCTCTTTGCAATGAGCTTGGCAAATACTACACAGCAAATTTTCAGCCAAAAGACCATATTTACGACACCACTGGATGATAGCAGGAACATCACTACCAAACTTGCGCACCAAATCAGCAAAATTTAAGTCAAAATCAGCTTCGACCGGCACTCGGCAGGCTTCTTCTTGCGTCATCTCATTTAAAGTACTAGACAATCCACGAAAAATGTTCAGACCTACCAAAATTTTAAAACGGTTATTTATCATTCAAGTATGATCAAATTGAAGCTAAGACATTGCATTTTCAAGATAAATTTTTTTATAGGTTTTTATTGATTAATCTTGATTTTGAATTACTTTTAATTTATTTATTTACTTATTTATTTCACTCAGACTTATGTGAACACTGGGGTTCTAGGGTGGTAAGCAACCAGAACCAAAGGCCTAGGCTCTAGGCTAGGCACTGCCACTCCTTAGCTAGACCTAGACTATGGCCAGCGCAGACTGTATAGTAAAGGTAGTAAAAATATTAAGTAGTAATAGTATTATCATCTGCGCAAACATTTGCCCTAGAAATCCGTCCACGCACTTTGGAAAATACGGACCGATTTCCATGGATTTTGACGAAAAAAAAAAAACAACAAAAAAAACAATGAAATTATGCAGCAATTACGATTCTGCGCACCTACAGTATTTTCCTAACGATTGTCCACGCAAATTTGAGCTGACTTTTTAGATATCCTCCACGCAACTAAATCTTGACTTTATTGGGGGGTTGGCTTTTTTGGGGGGGGGGGGGAGGCCATAGGCCCTGAGGCGGATGCAGGATTTGGCAGTAGTAGGGAGTATGTGCAAAAGAATCTACTCTCTCAGACCCACCATGGGTATTTCTCAGCAATTTTTTACTACATCTATAGTATAGGTCTATAGTATAAACTATGATTTTTCCGAACGCTCGACTTTACATCTTCATCTACAGTTCATGTTTTGGTTATCTCTATTAAATCAATAATTGTTGGTGAAAGAATGATTTTTCCGAACGCTCGGCTGTACTTGTAATATTTTAATAGTTAAATACATATGCTTTACATTAGAAAATCGCCAAAGAAATGTTGTTTCATCATTATCTTTTTAGCATGGGCAACATCACTTTCTGAATTTGCCTAGTATCGT